ATAACCCGGGACCAGGGCGAGCCGGGTTACGATGACACTCCTTCCTCCTCCTCCTCCTCCTCCTCCGCCCTCTTTCTCCACCTCCTCCTCCTCCTCCTCCTCCTCCTCATCCATCTCCTCCTCCTCCTCCCCCTCATCCAACTCCCCCTCATCCAACTCCCCCCCCGCCCTCTTTCTCCGCCTCCTCCTTCCTCCTCTTCCTCCGCCCTCTCCCCCTCCTCCTCCTCCTCCTCCTCCTCCTCCTCCTCCTCCTCCTCCTCCTCCTCCTCCTCCTCCTCCTCCTCCTCCTCCTCCCCCCCCTCTTCCTCCTCATTCCTCCTCCTCTCCTCTCCTCATTCCTCCTCCGCCCTCTTTCTCCACCTCCTCCTTCCCCCTCCCCATCCTCCTCCTCCTCCTCCTCCTCCTCCTGGGAGGAGGGGGAGGAGGAGTCCGGACGTGTGCCCCCGCCCACCGATCTGTGCGCGCCGCTCGGGCCAAACCTCGGGGGCGCGCAAAAACGGACTAACGATCCATTGATTTGGCGCGCGGTCGCCAAATCCATGGATCTGGGGAGGTGCACTCCCCAAAATGCGGCCGGTGCCGCCTCGCTCGGCGGCGGAAATCTGCGATTAGCCATGGAAACGGGACCCGTCGCTAATCCGCGCCCCCCCTTGATCCATGTTTGTGATCGCCTCAAAAGTGACGGCGATAAGCGTGAACGTCAGCATCTATTTTCGAGGGTCCGCGCAGCACTGGGCCCCCCTCGCTGGCGAGCGGAACGTGCCAGCGGCGGCGCTGGAGCCGGCGCCACGGGGGGCCCAACGCCGACCAACAAGCATTCGCACGGACCTGCGACAATTCATTCCCAAAATTCCGTTGATGGGTTCCCGTCTTGAATCGAACACTCTGTGGTCGCGTCTTCCTTCGTCCGCCCCCCTCCCGCCTCCCTCCTTCCCCATCTATATCTCTTTTCCTCTCTCTCTCTCTCTCTGTCCCTCTCTCTCCTCTTGTATCGTACCACTGTAGCACGTGTCTCCGACTTCGCCATCCCTGGGGGGGGGTGCGACCTGCGCAACTGTCGCCACGTTCAAGGGCTGCTGGGGGGGGGGGGCAGCACAGTGTCGCCATACCCTGACTCACGCTCGACCTCGCCATCCCTGCGGGGCTGCGATGTGCGAAACGGTCGCCACTTTCGGCGGCTGCTGAGGTGGCCAGAACAATGCCGCCATACCCACACTCAGATTACACCTCGCCATCCCCGGGGGGCCGAGATTTACAATCTTGCCGCCACGTTCGCGGGTAACTGGGCCGGATAGCACAGTGCCGCCATACCCAGACTCAGACTCGACCTCGCCATCTCTGCGGGGCTGCGACTTGCGAAACTGTCGCCACTTTCGAAGGCTGTTCGGGGGGGGCACCACAATGTCGCCATACCCAGACTCAGACTCGACCTCGCCATCCCGAAGGGGCTGCGATCTGCGAAACTGTTGCCACTTTCGAGGGCTGCTGGGGGGCCAGCGCAGTGCCGACCAACCCATAGTCAGACCAGGCCTCGCCATCTCTGCGGGGCTGCGACTTGCGAAACTGTCGCCACTTTCGAAGACTGCGGGGGTGCCAGAGCAATGCCGCCATATCCAGATCCAGACTCGACCTCACCATCCCGCGGGATGCTGCCATCTGCGAAACTGTCGCCACGTTCGGGGGCTGCTGGGGGGGCACAACCATGCCCAGATTCAGATTCGACCTCGCGCTCTCTCTCTCTCTCTCTCTCTGCAAGGCTGCGATCTGTCCACTTTGGGGGGGGGCAGCACAGTGGCGTCGCACACGGATTCGAATTAGACGTATTCATCCCTGGGGGCGGGTGGGTCTGCAGAACTGTAGCCACGTTCGAAGGGTGCTGAAGTGGCCAGCGCAATGTCGCCATACGCGGACTCAGATTATAATTCGCCATCCCGCGGAATGCTGCGATCTGCGAAGCTGTCGTTGGTGTCGGGGGCTGCTGGTGGGGAGCGCATTGTCGCCGCGCGCGGAATCAAAATTCGACCTCGCTATTCCTGCGGGACTGCGGATTGCCAAACTGTCGTCACTTTCGAGGGCAGCTGATGGGGGCCAGCGCAGTGACGCCTCGCGCGCATTCAGATTACACCTTGCCATCCATGGGGGCTGCCATATGCGACGCTGTCGCCACTTTCGAAGGATGTTGGAGAGGCCAGCGCAACTTCGCCATACGCGCGCTCAAATCAAGCCTCGCCATCGCTGGGGGGTGCTGCGATCCGGGATACTGCCGCAACTGTCGAGGGCTGCTGGGGGCTGGGGCGGGGGGAAGCGCAGTGGCGCCATGCGCGGACCCAGAGTAAACATCGCCCTTCCTGGAAGGCTGCGGTCTGCGAAGCTGCCACCATGTTTGAAATCTTGGGGTGGGGGCAAAGTGACGCCGTGCGCGGACCCAGATTCGACCTCGCTTTCCCTCGGGAGCTGCGGACTCAGGTTTGATCTGGCCATCCCTGGGGGCATGCGCTCTGCGAAACTGTCCCTACGTTCAAGGGCTGCGGGGGAGGGTCGGCGCAATGGGGCCGTGCGCGGGTTCAAGCTAGAACCCGCCATCCGTTGGGGGGGGGCTTCGATCTGCAAAACTGCCGCCACTCTCGAAGGCTGCTGGGGGGGGGGGGGGGCAGCGCAAAGCGTCGCCATACCCAGACTCAGACTACACCTCGCCATCCCTGGGGTCCACGTTTTTGTGGGGTGATGGGGGCGGCAGCGCAGCGTCGCCATACCCAGACTCAGACTCGACCTCGCCATCCCTGCGGGGCTGCGATCTGCGAATCGGTCGCCAATCTTGTGGGGTGATGGGGACGGCAGCACAGCGTCGCCATACCCGGACTCAGACTAGACCTCGCCATCTCTAGGGGGCTGCGGTCTGCGAAACTGTCGCCACTATCGAAGACTGCTGGGGGGCAACACAATGTCGCCCAAACCCGGCCTCAGACTAGGCCTCCCCATCCCGAAGGGGCTGCGAAATGCGAAACTGTTGCCACTTTCGAATGCTGCTGGGGGGGGGCAGCACAGTGTCCCCATGCGCGGATTCCGATTCGACCTCACCATCCCTGTTGGGCTGCCGTATGCGAATCGGTCGCCATTTTCGTGGGGCGCAGTGGGGGCAGCCCAGTCTCGCCATACCCAGACCCAAATTACACCTCGCCGTCCCTGCGAGGCTGCTGGGGGGCCAACACGATGTCGCCATATCCAGACTCAGACACGGCTTCGCCATCTCTGGGGGACAGAAGCGTGCAAAACGGTTGCCACGTTCGGGGGCTGCCTGGGGGGCCAACGCAGCGTCGCCATACTCAGATCCAGACTCGACCTCGCCATCCCTGGTGGGCTGCGATCTGCGAAACTGCCACCGCGTTCGAGGGTTGCTTGGGGGCTGGGGGGGGGGGCAGCACAATGACGTCCTACGCGGGTTTAGGTTGAACCTCGCCGTCCCTGGGGGGTCTGCGATCTGCAATACCGTCACCACTTTCGAGGGTTGCTTGGGGCGTCCTGCGCATATTCAGACTAGGTCTGGCCATCACTGGGGGGCTGCGATCTGCGAAACTGTCGCCGTGTTCGAGGGCTGATGGAGGGTCCAGCGGAGTGTCGTCGTACGCAGATTCAGGTTGGACTCGCCAGCCCTGCCTGGATGGCTGCGATCTGCGAAACCGTTGCCATTTTCGAAGGCTGCTCGGGAGCCCAGCGGAGAGGCGTCCTACGCAGATCCAGAATCGACCTCGCCATCCCTTTGGGGGGCTGCCATCTGCGAAACCGTCCCTGCTTTCGAGGGCTGCTGGGGGGTCCAGAATAGCGACGTCCTAGGCTGACTCAGATTAGACTTCGCGGCGCGCATGCGCGCCTTTACATCCCGCATTGGAAAATGCAGTAAAAAGGCCCTGCAGCTGGCGAAACAGCTCGGTCTCGCGCATCTCTTGCACTGACTATAAGTGATTGCTGGCGTGCCTCGAATCATAATGTCTTTCCTTGTTATGCTTTTCTTTCGTTGTCATATCCGTCCTTCCTGTAACTATGTCTTCTTGCTGCTGCGCCGCTGATGCTTCAAGATCGTTGTCCGTACTCCCCTCTTACTCTTCGACCCGTCGTTCCCTTCGGGCCAAGGGAATAGCTGCTCATCCCAATCGAACCTCTGTCTATCGATCGGTGTCCTGCGAGCCGCGCAGCTCACGAGCCTCCCAGTAAACGCTCTAAGAACATACTCTCATTGCCACGCTACCACCCCCCACGCGATCTGCCCAGCTATTTTGGCCACGCGTTGCGCAAGGGTTGGGTGCGTCGCCAGGGTGAACTCCAACTATGTAGTTGCATGCGTTCTTGTACAGTGCGGGCGCAACCGCAAGAACCCCTCGCAAGAAACCCAACCCTGAAAACCCGCGCGCGAAGTGCACCGGAGGGGAAAACTGGATCACCCTGAACGCAGCCGCTCCTCCAACGGCTGCGGGAAGTCACAGCGCAGCGCGCGGAGCAAAGAAACCCAGGATACCCTGATGAAAAACATACAGTTCCTTGATGCGCGCCCCCACTGCACTCTGGGCTTCGACACGTGGCCGAAGGGTGGGGAAAGGGGCCCGGGCCTGGGCCGGTGCTTCGCCGATCTGCTTCTGCCAGTCGCGCAAGCGGAGTGCGGGGTGGAGGCCCTGACCAGTCGACCTTCGTCCTCGTCCTCCTCCTCATCCTTCCCAGACGACAAACGACGACGAGCGACGACGACGACGACGGGGGACAACGACGACGGACGACTACGGATCGACGACGACGATCGACCGGCGACGGATGACGACGACGGACGACACTGACGACGGATGACGACGACATTTCGACGACGACGACGACGACAGATGACGACGACAGACGATGGACGACGACGCCGACGCCGACGCCGACGCCGACGCCGACGCCGACGACGCCGACGCCGACGCCGACGCCGACGAAGACGAAGACGACGACGACGACGACGACAAGGGGGCGGGCGCCTGCCGGTACAGCCGTTGGGCTTCCGAGAAGGCGCCCAGGTCGCAGAGGACGAGCCCGAGCAGGTACAGCACCTGCCGGGGGGGGGGGGGGGGGCGGAACCAAGCAGCGGGGGGAGGGCGAGCAGGAGGGAGGAGGACCAGGAGGATGAGGAGGACGGACAGGAGGAGGACGAGCAGGAGGGGGGAGGACGAGGAGAAGGATGAGTAGGAGGAGGAGGACAAAGAGGAGGAGGGGCAGGAGGAAGAAGAGGAGGACGAACGGGAGGAGGAGAGGGAGGAGGAACGGCAGGAGGAAGAGGGGGCAACAGGCGCGTGGGGAGGGCAACCCTCAGGAGAGGAGGCGCGCGCGTTCACGGCGCGCAGCCACGCCGAGCGGCTCGCCGCCGTCGTTCCTGGTGGGGCTTGAGGCGGAGACTGGACTTCCGAGATGTCTCGCGCGGTCAGGACGGGCCAGCATCGACTCGGGACATGGGATCGAGCCAGAATGTGCCTCGGATCGAGCTGCATCGGCACGGCATCGAGATCGAATCGGATCGGCTGCGCCAAGATGCTCAACGACGCCATGGAAGGATTGGGCCGCATCGGATCGCCGTGAAATTGAAATCGAAATCGAGTTGGGCGAATCGGCATCGCAACGACGCCATGGAAGGGTTGGGCCGCATCGGATCGCCGCAAAATTGACATCGAAATCGGCATCGAATTGGCCGAATCGGCCTCGGATCGGATCGAGTGGATCGGCATGGGCCCCGGCGGCGCGGCGGGCGCCCAGCAACCTCGAGACGTCACGGCAAGGGCTCGGGGAGGGGCGGCAAAGGGGGGGGCCCTGCCAGAGTTTGCGCGGCAGCCAGGGGCGTTGCACCGAGGGGCGGGGGGTGGGGGGGGGCTGCGCCGAATTCGTCGGCGGGGGTCTGCTCGATCTCGCGATTCCCAGTGGGCGAGGCCGACAAAAGGCATAAACATCTTGCTTGCGACGCAAGAGGGTCTGGTCTGGGAGGGGGGTGGGGGGGGGCGAAAAGCAATAAGCCACGTTAGCTCAAGCCCAATGCGGCTGCATTGCCGCATGGGAATACAAGAACTGGTGCCAATGGTGCTGCATGAGGGGTTGCTAATTAATACCACTGGTGTCGCATGGGAATGCAATAACTTAAATGTTGGAACTAATGTCTCATCGTCTTTTCATTGCCAAATGATTGGGTCAACGCTATTCCCATCCGGAAGAACGTTCAGACCAAACAACACTCCACATCGAATCGGAGTGTGCGTCGGACAGGGCTGCGTCGGCACGGCATCAAAATCGAATCGAATCGGCTGCGCCACTATTCGCAAAAACGCCATGCAAACATGGGAGCGCATCGGATCGCTGAAACATCGGAATCCAATTGGATCGAACTGGGCGCGATCGATACTGAGTCGGATCGATCGGATTGAAATTTATCCTGAGCCTCCTGCGGCCGATCTGGACGATTCGGGGATACCCAGAACTCTCTCGGCGAGGCGCAGCAACGGGAAACATCCCGAGGCTAGAAAACGGCCGAACACCGACAGAAACGCCCGAAAACTTCAACCGTAAAATTTCTGGCACCCTTATCCCACCTCTATGAAAACTGGCAGGCCGCTGCCTTGGGGGGGGGCTTTGGCGCCACGATCAGACCGACGACGACCGCAGCGCGATATGGCTGGTTTCGATCAGGCACTTCTCTCTCGCCCCTTTCCTCGTCCTGACTCCTCCGTCCTCCCCCTCCTCTCTCCTCCCTCACCTCTTTCATTTCACCCCCGCCTTTTCTCTCCTCTTCCCTCATCCGCCCTCCTCTCCTCGTCCTCCTCCTCCTCCTCCTCCTCCTCCTCCTCCTCCTCAGATTCTCCTTCTCTCTCTCTCCTCCTCCTCCTTCTGCGCCTCCGCCCACGCCTGCGCCTCCGCCCACGCCTGCGCCTGTGCCTGCGCCTACGCCTCCCGCGGCAAGAGATGCCTCAGAGGTCCCCGCGGAGGGGGCACCGCCCGCGTCCCTCGCGCGCCCCCCCGCGGCGGCGAGGCCGGCCCTGGCCGCCCCCCCCCCCCCGAGTGCGCCCCGCGTGCGCGCGGGGCGCCCGCGGGTCGTCGGCGCGCACGCCGGCGGCGGCGTCTGGCCGGGCTGCCTCCCGGCGGCGGCGGGCGGCCGCCTGGCGGGCGGAGGGGGGGGGAGGGGGGAGGGGGGGGAGGTGGGGGAGGGGAAGGAGGGGGAGGTGGGGGGGAGGCACGGGAAGGAGGAGGGGGGGGGAGGCGGGAAGGGAAGGGGGGGAGGGGAGGGGGGGGGGGAGCGGGAACGGAAGGGAAGGGGGGGGGGGGGAGAGAAGGAGGAGGGAGAACTGATGTCCAGTGATTTCGCCCCTTGGGCGTCGCTTAACTGGGGGGCGGGGAATGGCAGGCGGAAGGTGGTGCACACATTTCGGAATGTGCACATTTTCGGGCCCAACTGGGGCCCAACGTGCCCCCTTTTGGGCCCCAGAGGCTCCCATTTACGGGCCCTGAAGGGCCCCTTTTCTGCGGCCCTCGATGCCCCCCAAACTGACTCCCCCATTACGCGGCTCCCGAGGAGTGAAGCACGTTTCCCCAAGATTTCGCCCGAGGCACGTTGCCTGTCGCCAGACCATCTGCCCCTACCAGGGTAGCGCTCGGCCCGGAGAGAGAGGTGGAGGGGAAGGAGGGGAAAAAGGGGAGGAGGGAGAGGAAAGGGACGGAGGAGGGGGTGGGGGAGGGCGGAGGGGGAAGGGCGGAGGATGAGGGGGGAGGGATGAAGGGGGGAAGAAGGGGGATGGGAGGTCCCCGGGGCGAATCGGGCCGGACGAAAACAGAAAACCAAACAACGGCATGAAAAGAAACTCTCGGAACTCCGCGTGGTTTTCTTGGATCTGCGCTGGATTCCTATCCCTGGCACGCGCAGTGCGCCAGGAGCGGCACTGGAGGCGTCGCCAAGGGGGCTCCAGCGCCGATCCAGGAAATCCGCGCGGAACTCCGAGCATTTATGTTGTGCCGTTCTTTCTTCTCCGAGGGAGAAGGACCTGGCGAATCAACTCACGTAGGTAATTCTCCGGCGCCCCCTGGCACAGGAGGCGCGCGCCGATGCATCGACGAAGGCGTCCAGCGGCGGGGACCAGACCGTCAGCATGCAGCGGATGTCGTGCCCCTCCCCCCTTCCCGAGCCCCTCTTCACCCCCGACCTGGACGAAGAGAGAAGCAGCTGAATCCTGAGCCCCTCAAAGAGGATGGCAGGGAAAAGGGGAAGGATCGAGCGTCGAGGCTTGAGGCGTTTTTCGACATGCTTGGCGGCAGCTGCGCCTCGCTTCGAACGTCCCTGGGGTGCCCGAGTCGTCCCGAACGGCCGCCAGATGTTCAGGCCGTGGTCCGATAGGCCAGACCTCTAAGGCAAATTATTGATGATTTGTTCGATGCAAGGGTCCCAGAAAGGTCCCTACCGATTCCTCCGGGCCAGCGTTCCATCCCGCACCATTTTCTGATGCGCCCGCGGTCCCCAGAGCTAAGCGGGGGCCCCTTGGGGCCCGGTAGCGACGAAAGACTGGAAACTTGTTATTCCTACACTTCGAAAGCGAAAAGAATAATGGCTGAACCGGACCCCATCGAGGATCGAGAAGGAGGGAAGTGGAGGAAGAGGAAGGATCTAGGATGGTGGTTTTGAAGCGCTTTGGGGCCCCTGGGGCGCCATCGCGGACGCGGCAGGATCTGCCTAGGCGTTCGGGCCAGGACGCGCCCCAGGAGGGGCCAGGGACCCCATCGCTGAGACATTCGTCTTTCGCCGCTTTCGGTTTATAGCAGTTTTTTTTTCGTCAGCTCCACAAACAGTTGTCCAGCCTCGGGGCGTCTCCTCCTCCTCCGCCTCCGCCCCCTCCTCCTCCTCCTCCGCCTCCGCCTCCTCCTTCGCGTGTTTTCCTCCTCCTCCTCCTCCTCATCTGCCCCCGCCTCCTCCTACTCCTCCTCCTCCTCCCCCTCTTCCTGCGCGCATCCTTGCGAAACATGAAGTTTGTCGTAACCCAATGACAGCACATGTAAGCGTAAGAAAGAAAAAGAAAACGAGAGAGAGAGAGAAGGAGAGAAAGAGAGAGAGAGAGAGAGAGAAGAAGAAGAGAGGGCGCGGGGCGGGCCTCCTCGCCACCGTCGGTAGCGCTCCCGACTAACCCTTCATAGAGGTCCATAGGCATCTATATGTGTATATATAGATACATATACATATATATATATATATATATATATATATATATATATATACACGTATACATGGGAACGCGGACCGACTCGGGCGGTGGGAACTGGCCGATCGGACAGAACGGGGCCGAACGAGCAACATGATCACACAAGCAGTCAGCAACAGCACGGTTCATGGCAGAAGGCCAACGGATGGAGGAGGACCGAAACCCATCCAGGCAATCAAAGCCTGCCTTAACGTCATCACCGAGCGAGTGCAAACCTGAAACAATCATACTCATGGGCACAATCTGCGAGTCAATCGTGCGGGGGATGAAATCACATAAATCTGAACGGCTGGCGGTCAAGTCGAACTCAGGTAGCGACCAAGGGGGACGGAAAGTGCGGGGCGAGTCTAGGATTCACATGCATCATCCCCCACGGAATCTGTACCGCACGGGCCGCGATCGATACCGCAATGGCGAAACGCAACATAGACTTCTCAACTTGCACACGCGCCCAATCCTTCGGAGCAATATCAGGGGCACCCCAAGGATGGGCAACTGCACGAAGCGGCTTGGCACGATTTTTCGCCTCTCGCACCCCGTTTCGACCCTGGGGGACGCCAGCACTTCGAGCACAGTTCTGGACGACACAAATTGAATTATCTGACTGCGTTGAGCCTCTGATTCAATGGCATCAGGGGGAGCAGTGAGCACACGCACTGACAAACCTCGAGCGGCAGCAATCTCCTCGCACCACCAGTGTACATCATGCAGCGTGCGCGCACAGCTCGTGACGTGCAGTAGGTACATTACTGGGGCATAGAGACGTGCGGCAGGAGCAAGTGGAAGCAGAGGCGCCACGTTCGCATCCACAGGCGCGGGGCGGCACCAACGCGGCACGCGACACTAGGGAGCCCCGGGGGGTCGGCCGCGCCCGACAGGCCAGGTCCAGCAAAACGCGACGGACCTCCTCCTCCTCCTGCCCCTCCTCCTCCTCCTCCTCCTCCTCCTCCTCCTCCTGCCTCCCCCGCCCCCCTCGGCCTGGCCCGCCCCGGCCCGGGCGCGCGCGGGGCCTGCCGGCGCAGGCCGGCGCCGCGCCCGCGCCCAGCGCTTCCCCGCCCAGCGCCTCAAGGCACGCGACATGGGGGAAAGGAGGGGCAAGGGGCGGGGGGGGGGGAGGAGAAGGAGGAGGAGGAGGAGGAGGAGGAGGAGGAGGAGGAGGAGGGGCAGGGGGAGGAGGAGGAGGAGGGAGGAGGAGGAGGAGGAGGAGGAGGAGGAGGAGGGGAGGAGGAGGAGGGAGAGGAGGAGGAGAGAGGAGGAGGGGAGGCGGAAGCTAGGAGGAGGACGTGGGGGAGAGCGGAGGAAGAGACATGAGGAGGAGAGGGAGGAGATGAGGAGGCGGAGGAGGAGGAGGAGGAGAAAGGCGGAGGGGGAGGGAGATGGAGAAGAAGAAGAGGAGGAGGAGAAGGCAGGAAGAGAGAGGGAAGAGGAGGAGGAGGGAGAGGAGGGAGATGAGGGAGAAGGAGGAGGAGGAGGAGGAGGAGGAGGAGGAGGAGGATGTTGACGGCCCAGAAGGCAGAACAAATCTGCGGCGCTCAGCAAAGCGCGGGCCAAATCGCCCTAACCAGGGGCACGCGTGTACAAAGAGGAAGCAGGCACAAGCTGAATCCGTCCTCTGGCCTCCTATTATTGGCTAACCCCCAATAGCGCCGAAACCTCGTGTCTTAGGGGGGAAGCCAACAAATAGGAAGCAAGCGGGCAGGACCGCAGCATTGGACCAGCGACCGCAACCCCGCAGGGCGAGGTCGCCCCCTGGCCCCTTCCCCCCCAGCCAACAAGCGGGGCAGGAGGAGGCCCCACCAGGGGCGGGGTTGGTCAAGTGCTGGGCCTACCCAGCAAAACAACACGGAGCGGTACCCAGCGCCAGAACCTCATCATGACACGGCCAGCAATTTGCCCGCGGCAATTAGCATTCCAACCAACGTGGTTGGACGCTGTGAGCCGCGGGCACCTGCCTCCGCATCATCATCGGCAGTGCACCTCATACAGGAGGTGCCACGTGGGACGTCATCAAAGAGGCCCTGGCGGCCGTCAGCGCGCTGACGACCGTCAGGGCCCCTGATGTCAAGAGTCCGTGGGGCTGCCGCGGCGGCGGTTGGTTCGCGGCCCCCGTCCGCAGGGGGGCGAGACAGGCGGGCGTGGCCATGGCTCAGGAGGGCCACGCGGCGCGGGGCATCCGCCGAGCCTGCCCGACTCAGCGCGCTCACCCGAAGCACTCCTCGCACACCGTGCGCTGGCAGGGAGCGCACCAGTAGGTGGGGGAGCGGCGGGGGTCACGCGGTGGCACCACGCGATCGTCGGCGCAAGGCAAGCTTGAGGCCGCCTGGGCACGCGAGCTCGAAGTCCTCCGAGCTCAAGTCGCCTGCGTCTACAGGCTCCTCGACAAGGTGCGCCATGGCGTCGCCCAGCTGCGGAGTGAAGTCGCTGCGCACGTCCCCGCTCGCGTCAAAGTTCTCGCCGTCTTCGCACACGGGGCCGTGGCTCTACACGCCGCACTGGGACTCGACCGCGTCCTCGCCCACATCGATGTCGACGCACACGGGGCCGTCGCTCGCCACGTCCCCGTTCACGTCGATGTCGCAGCCCACGGGGCCATCGCTCTGCTTCTACGGACTCCACGCGCTCGGTCTGGAGCGCCGCTAGCCGCCAGCCCGCCTTCAGCCCGAAGCCGAAGACGATGGCCTCCGACTCAGAGTCGCGAGGCCGCCAGCCGTCAGGGGCATACCATCGCGAGCCCGCCTGCAGGTCCGTGCAGTCGTAGTCGTAGTCGAAGTCGTACGCCTCTTGCCCTCCTCCTCCAGCGCCGCGGGGAAGGAGAGGACAGGCGCGTCCACCCGCACCTCGGCGTCGGCGCTCGCAACGTCCAGAAGCCGAGCCTCCAGCTCCGCCACGCGCAGCACATGCCCGAAGTCCTCGCCAGGGCGAGGCCCCGGCCGCCGCCCACGCCAGGTCGGCGGCCGAGGCAGCGGCAGAGCCCCCCGCGGGGATGCGCGCCGCGTGGAACGCGGCGTTGCGCCGCCTCCGGGAGCACGGGACGCGGCGGCCGCCCGCCGCAAGCATCAGCGCCGGCCATGCAGCCGCCCGCCTTGCGGTCCTGCCACGAGCCAGGGCCGCCCCGCCTCGGAACGGCGGCCTCCGCTGCGGCCAGCCGTCGCCTGCGCGCGGCCCCTCGGGCAGTAGAGGCGCCCAGCGAGGCCGTCTCGAGCGCTCGCAGCGCTCCTGGGCCTCCCCAGAAGGGTCGGCCCCCCGCAGCCACCGTAGCCTTCACCGTCGGGCAGTCCCCCTCCATGGCCACAGGACGCGGCCAAGGGGGGAAGGACTGAGCCGCTCTCTAGCGAAGAGGCAGCAGGGAGAGACACGGACGCGCAGCCCGCCTGGCGACCAAGGCAGGCATGAGCCAAAATGGCCACGGAGGAGGAGGAAGAAAATGACGAAAGGGAGGAGAAGGATGAGGAAGACAGGAAGCTAACAGAGATAACAGCCATGGGAGCGCAGCCAAAATGCCCGACCGCGCCCCGAGGAAGAGAACAAGAGGCCCCCCGATCCCCGCCCGTCCGTTCGCGCCGCGGCCTAGCCGAAGCCGGGCGAGGAAGATCCTGTTCAAAGTGTACGCGGTTGCTCAAAGAGCCTTCGTAGCTGTCTTTCTGGCTGCAGTAGGGCTGTGCCCCAGGCGATGATGCTGATGGCGTTGCCTCGCCAGTCTGCGGGAAGGCCGTCCGGGACGTCTTGCCCAGTCCTTGTCACCGCCCGTAGGGAGGTTGACAGGGCGTCCAAAGCTCGTCTCCAGTCGGCCTCCATGCAGGGCGGTAGGCTCTCGCCGCCTCTGGGTGTGTCGCCTCGTCCCAGGGGGTCGAGCTCGGTTCTCGGAGCAGTGTCAGGCGCGGGTCGCGCCAAGGGCGTCAACATGGGGGCTGTTCCCCGTGGCGGGCCGCTTGTCTCGTTCGCTGCCTGGCTGACTGCACCCGGAGGGGCTTCTTGCTGGCAGTCTGCGGGACTGGGGGGCCCTGGTGGAAGGCTGGTGTCTTCAGGGGGAGTCGCCTGCCTGGGGTCAGCGTTGGTGTGGCTGTCGGTGGGGGCGGGTGCTCCGCCGCCTATTTCTTGGCCGCCGCGTCCGTTCGCAGGGTTCGTGGCAACCGCGTCCGCGGCTGGCAGGGCATTGCTGTCCGCACACTCAGCCACCACGCCGTCGACGTGCGCGGCGTGGGGGAGGCGACGACTGACGACGGGGGGGGCAAACAAAAGTAACCACTAAGCGGGACGCCCGTCTTGGGGTGCCCGCCCTCTCGAATTTTCGAAAGGGCCTTCTTGGAGCTCTGGGCCAGAACTCCAGAGGTCGGGGGCTTACACATATCCCTAAGCTTAGGGCTCGTCCAGTGGGCACTCAAAGACCCGCGCGTAGAGCATAAGGTATAAGGCCCTACCTTCTCCATCACGTGACCCAGGGCGGAGAAACAGCTAAACTCTCCCTCCCCCTCCCCAGGCGCCGACACCGGAAGGACCCCAGGACCAGGGTCCCCTTACCCAGGGCTCGCCCCAAGGACCACAGCCCCGGGAACCAACGAGCCACGCGCACACTCCATGGCCGCTTGGATCGCCTGGGGTCTCGCCTGGGGGGTAGCAGCGGCGTCAAGCCCCCCTGGACGAAACTCCAATTCGGGCACGCTCTCGCTGCATGGGGAGAAGGTTCGCACTTCCTACCACTACCTTGAGTCATCAGCGCCACGGTGGCACATGCCTGAGTTTGACCCAGGCAGCGCCTGCAAGTGATTACATCACCGAGGACATGGAAATCATGTTCCTGGAATCGGAAGCACATGGAAATCATGTTCCTGAAGCATGATTACATCACCGAGCACATGGAAAGGCCGAGGAAGGAACGATGCACACCGTGGCCCTCGGAATTTCACGACAGACCTCGAACTGCCCATCCACAACCTTCGGGGATCTTCTGACCCGGGTCAATCCAGACCCGGGTCATCAGGAAACCAAAAACTGCAATGCAGGAAAAACAAACTGCACCGCAGGTCTTCGCAGACCCAGGTCAGCCAATACGCGCGGCCGCCTCGCGGCCACGAGCGGCTCCCTAACCCGGGTCAGCCAGAGGGGGTTTTCGCAGGATCCTGCAGGATCTGGCGCCCTGGCTGACCCCCGTCTGTATTGACCCCCGTCTCAAGGCTCCCGAAACCTCCTGATGCGAAACATTCCGGGCACATGCCCAGTCAAAAAGCTGAGCATGCTGACGCAAGATCTCCAACCTGGCAGCCTCACTTTTGACCAGCACGTCGGAAACCTGATGCGATCGAGTACCTTCCTTGGCGAAAACAACAGGATTGAGTCCCTCTTGCGAGAAATTCAAGCAGAGAGAGGTGCGCTCGCACCAACTCAAACAAGGTAAAACCCGAATCAGACCTGGCATCGGCAATCTTGAACATTTGACGCCAGATATCAGCATGCACCCCCGTGGCCGACGCGTGAACGCGAGACCATTCAGCCCCTCACGCACAACCCCAAGGAGATCCGAAACTGCAGCTGCCATGCGCGGAGACAACTGGAGCCCCCGCAACAGAGCATGTCTTTCGGAGTGGCCAACGGTCTGAACCGGTCCAGGCAAAATACCATAAGTGGTCGGGATGACATCGCCGCCAACTTGGATGGCCGACCATCCACACCATCTGAACTCGAGCCAGGCACTATGCATACCCGACCCGTCAAAAAACACACAGTCCTCCCCCAGGACTCGGAAGGAGAATCCCAATCACCCCAGAAGGTGATCGGGAGGACAATAGAGTGGCAAGGGATGGGCTTGGAGCCTTGGGGGGGCCAACGCAGAGCCTGAGCAAATGACAACTGACGTGTCCCATGACATCGACCGCTTCCACACTCAAGCGATCCATCGTTTTTCTTACATCTCCCCGCCCCAACCATGCAATCCTCGAGCGTCTTCCTGCTCGAGCACATTCGGGCAATAAGTGGCCGGGGTCTCCGGGAATGAAAGAGCAGAAGGAGAGGGAGAGGGATGAGGGATGAAGAATGAGGGAGGAGGGAGGAGGGACGGAAGGGAAGGAA